CGGGTGGCGCGGGGGCGGTGGGTGTCCGGCAAAGGACTTGCATGAAAAGGCACCGAGACCTTTGTGTTCTGGTCACCTGCGCTGCCTCCGTCCAGTCAACCCACCCCCGCTGAGGCTGGACCCCGGCACCACGCTCTAATCCCTTCCCCGTCGTTCTCCCCTTGGGACTTTAGGCATGCACATACCTGTACTCAGCATGTTTCTTAAGCCACCAGGTGCCCAGGCCTCAAACCGCTCAGGTGGTTGTGTGGGATCCAGCCACCTTAATCTCCGTGCACCTGCTGACCTCCTCACCACTCTAATATTCACATCCCTTCCATTTGGTTTGATTTTCTTCTTCCTGAAGTGTACCTTTTAGTAGTTTCTTATTGGGACCAGCAGATAGTGGAGTGGTTACATTGCTGGACTTCCACATGGCTGACCAAGGTTCAAGGCCTGGATCCAGTGGCTTCAAAATCATGCCAGGAGCAAGTGCCTGCATGCCCAAGATCCCAGGGGCTGGGTGGGGGAGAATGGAGGAAAAGGGATTGCAGCATTGCCATCCCTCCAGGGGGTGATTTTTCACTTTCCCTCTGTCTGTCTGTCTCTCTTGTAAGCACACATACCCAAAGGCAGAAACCTCTCTCTATTACTTTTATTTCATCATTTCTGATTATTTGTGTGGGTATAGAATTCCAGGCCAAAAGTTACTTTCTCCAAGCATTTAAAGATTTTAGCTTATTGTCTTTTCTTTTTTTTTTTTTTTTTTAAAGAACTATTTCATTTAAGTTTATTTGTTTTAATTTGATCAACGAGGGAGAGAGGGAGAGAAAGTGAGCCACTAGGTCCAGGACTTGAACCACAGTTGGCCATGTGGTATTTCAGTGCTCTTAACTACCATGTCATCTCTGGCCCTATCTTTTCTTTTCTTTTGGAGAGGTTTTTGCTATAGGGCGCGTGCGCTCGTCAGACACACAGAGACAGAGAGATAGAAAGTGAGAAATCACCCCCCACGGGGGATGGCCACGCTGCAATCCCTCCTCCTCCAGTATCCTCTCGGGATCCTGGGCATGCATGCACATGCGCCCGGCGTGAGTTTTGAGCCACTGGGTCCGGGACGCGAACCGCGGTTGACTACGTGGGAGTCCAGCGACATAGCCATTATGCTAACTGCTGGTTCCCCCCATCTTTTCTTTTCTTACAGTTTTTGCCATGGGGTGCATGCGCTTGCTGGAGAAATGACAGAAGGGAGATGGCCTAAGGGGGATGGCCATGCTGCAATCCCTTCTCCTCCTGGGTTTTGGGCATACATTTCATATGTGCCTTGCCTAAGTTTCAAGCCAGTAGGTTTGGGACTCAAACCACAGTCCGCAACGTGGGATCCAGCGCCTCAACTGCCATGCCACCTGCTGGCCTCAGCCTATTGTCCTCTAATGCTGCTATTCAAAACTCTGTCACCAGCTTAATGCTATAAGATACTATGTTTATCTTTCGGGTTCTCTGATTTTACTTAAGACACATCAAGATGTAGGTTTATATTAATTTATCTTGTTTGGGACCTTGCTTTCTAAATCTGAGGAATTCACGTCCTGGAACTATTAGTCATTACTTCTCCCTTAAGACTAGAGGCTAAAAGTCCCCTTTCTCCATTCTCTTTAGGAAATATGAAGGACTTGAAAGTTCATGGAAAGTGGAATTATATTAGTTTACAGCCACCAGGTGGTGTGGTGGCTAAGGCACTGGACTCTCACATGGCTAATTGCAGTTCAAGTCTCAGACCTGGCAGCTTGAAAATCACACCAGGAATGTGTGCATGCATACTCAAAATCCCGTGAAGAGACTAGAAAAGGGATTGTGGCATGACCATCCCATCGAGTTCTCACTATCCTTCTCTGGCAAGCACACATGTTCTATAGCAAAATAAATAAATGAATGAATTTTTAAAATCTTGAGGCCAGCAGGTGGCATGGTGGTTAAAGTGCTGGACTCTCACATGGCTGACAGTGGTTCGAGTCCTAGACCTGGTGGCTTGCTTTCTCACTTTCTGTCTCTAGTGAACTGAAATAATAATAATAAATAAAATTGAATAAATAATTCTTTTTTTTTTTGAGAGGTTTTCATTATACGGCGCGTGCGCTCGCCAGACAGACAGAGAGAGACATAGAGACAGAAAGCGAGAAATCACCCCCCAGGGGGGATGGTCACGCCGCAATCCCTTCTCCTCCATTCTCCTCTTGGGATCTTGGGCACGCACGAACACATGCCCGGCGTGAGTTTTAAGCCACCGGGTCCAGGATGCAAACCGCGGTCGACTACGTGGGAGTCCAGCGACATAGCCATTACACTAACTGCTGGTTCCCAAATAAATAATTCTTTAAAAAAATCTCAACAGATTCAGAGACTAGCAGGTGGCATTGTGGTTAAGATGCTGGACACTCCCACATAGCCAACCATGGTTTGAGTCCTGGACCTGGTGGTTTACTTTCTTAATTTCCCTCTCTCTCTGGTCAAATTTTTAAAAAAGAAAATGAATGAATAAATAAAATTCAATAAATAATTATTTTTAAAAATTCTCAATAGACTTTAATAAATATATCTTTCATTTCCAGAAGTTGTAATTTTTTTTTTTTTTTTTTTTGGAGAGGTGCTATAGGGCGCGTGCGCTTGCCAGACAGACAGAGAGAGACAGAGAGACAGAAAGCGAGAAATCACCCCCCAGGGGGGATGGTCACGCCACAATCCCTTCTCCTCCATTCTCTTCTTGGGATCCTGGGCATGCACGCACACGCGCCCGGCGTGAGTTTTAAGCCACCGGGTCCGGGACGCGAACCGCGGTCGACTACGTGGGAGTCCAGCGACATAGCCATTACGCTAACTGCTGGTTCCCCAGAAGTTGTACTTTTTACTTCCCCCCAACCCCAATCTCTTATCCTAGTCTTAGGAGGGTTTTTTGGTTTGTTTGGTTTTTAAAACCCCTTAGGCAGAGAAAGAGGTAAGTATTAGGTTGTCAGGAAAATTATGAAGTATTTTTCTGCTTTTTTAATGCAAAAATGCATCATGACTTTCCTGATGACCCAGTATTTTTTAACAGATTCTCTTCTCCCAAGTTCCCAGTTAACTAGGATTACAGGCTCACATAACTGAGCCCAGAGTGTTCAGGCCCCCTGGAACTGAACCTGTGCCTCCCATGCAGCCTACTAGCCTCTCAAGCAGTGATAGTACCTGTGTGCCATGACAGCTGGGCCTCGTATTAGGCATTTGATTCCTTTTTCATGCCTTTCATAATTTTAATTATAGTCTCTGGTAATTCTTTAGAGATATTAGTGAATCTACTGCTTCTTGTTAATGAATTTTTTTTTTTACATTTTACTTTAGGACACGAGTGCTCACTAGTGGGAGTGGGGTGAGATATCACCACCTCCCCAATGTGATTTCTTTTTTTTTTTTTTTAAAGAGGTTTTTGCCATGCACTGGACAGGGTGGGACAGTGAGAGGAAAGTTGAGAAATCTACTCCTCCAGGGGGATGGCCACACCACAATCCCTTCTCCATTCCCCTCCTGGGATCTTGGACATGCACGCACGTGCACCTTGCATGATTTTCAAGTCATCAAATCCAGGACTTGAACTGCAGTCAGCCATATGGACAGCAAAGTAACCACTCCGCCATCTACTACCCACCTCCCAACATGAGTCTCAAGCCACTGGGTCAAGACAAACCATGAAGTCGGCCATATGGGGTCCAGTTGCCCTAACCTCCATGCCACCTGTTAGCCCACTAATCAACTATTTCAGCTTTTTTGGGGGGCTTGTTTTCAAAGATGGGATCTTGCTGTGATCCTTCTGTCTTGGCCTCTCAAGCAACAGGGACAACAGGCACGAGACATGATGCTCAGTTCTTATAGATGGGGTCTAGCTTTATTATCCCCACTAGCAGCAAATTCACGATCCTCCTGCCTCTGCCTCCGAAGCACTGTAGACCACAGGCATGCACCACTGTGCCTAGTGTTAAGAGTGGGTCTAGAATCAAACCCGTTCTCCAATGTGGCCTCAGCTTGCTGAGTAGCAGCATCAACCAGTATGTGTCTGGGATGGTCATGTCACAGTCCCTTCTCCATTCTCCTCTTAGGACTTTGGGCATGCACACACATCTGCCCAGTTTGAGTTTTAAAAGGCCAGGTCTAGGACTCAATCCACAGTCAGCCATATGGGAGCCCAGCGCTTTAACTACTGTGTCATCTGTTGCCACAGAATTTCTTATAGGCTAGTAGGGTTTGTCACCAAAAAAACTCACAGACAAAATTTTGTTCTCTGACTGTTCAACAGAGTATAATCCCTTAACATAACAAGGATCTAAGTGATTGGGCTCCCATTTATTGTTTCTTGCTAAACCTTCTCTTCCTTCTGTCAATTCCCAGATTATGCTTACCTCTTTTATATCATCCAATTTACCTTTCATTACTCCCTTCTCTCTCAGCCTAAAAATCTCTTCTCCTGCCCCAGTAAGACAAAAATCACCAGATGGGTGGTGACCTAAATCACACCTTCTATGAAGCCTTTTCCACTTCATCAAATAGGATTGTTCATACCACTAAACACACTTCTCTCAAATAAAATTCTACCACATTTGTTTATGTTTCTAAGACAAATGTTTCATGATTTTCTGTCCCCCTGTCCTCCTATATTCACCAGGTTTGGTCAGTTTTACCACAGAAGTGTCAAATCACTCATCATTCCAAAGATATCCCACTACCCACATGAAATCATCCAGATTATTATTTTTTGGAAAGATTTTTGCTATAATGTGTATGTGCTCACCAGAGAGACAGATGAAGCAAGAAATCAACCCCCAGAGCAGACAGTCACACTACAAACCCTTCTCTTCTACTCCTCTCAGGATTTTGGGCATGTACACACACATGCCCGGTGTGAGTTTCAAGCTGCTAGGTCTGGGACTCAAACCATGGTTGGCCATGTCCAGTGACATAATCATTATGCTAGCTGCTGGTCCCCATCCAGATTATTTTAAGGGGTATCAATTTGTTACACTACTTCTAGCTCCCCATTCACTCAGCAAGTGAATACAGAGCATCTACTCTGGGATGATCTCTTTGCTAGGCCCTGGGATCATGAAAATTAATACATGGGTCGGGAACCAGCAGTTAGCGTAATGGCTATGTCGCTAGACTCCCACGTAGTCAACTGCGGTTCGCGTCCCAGACCCAGTGGCTTAAAACTCACACCGGGCGCGTGTGCATGTGTGCCCAAGATCCTGAAGAGGAGAATGGAGGAGAAGGGATTGCAGTGTGACCATTCCCACCTGGGGGGTGATTTCTCGCTGTCTCTATGTCTCTCTCTGTCTGGTGAGCGGGCACACACGCCCTATAGTGAAAACCTCTCCAAAAAAAAAGAAAAATTAATACATGTGTCATGCTCTTCAATAAACTGGAATTCCAGCAGGATGAGATAAATATAACATAGGTCAGTAAAAGGACACCATAGGGACCAGCAGATGGTGTAATGGTTACATCGCTGGACTACCATGTAGTTGATTATAGTTTGAATTCCACTAGTGGCTTAAAACTCACGCCTGCTGCATGTGCTGCATGCCGAAAATCCCAAGAGAAGAATAGACTGTGGTGTGGCCTTCCCTTCAGGGGGTGATTTCTTGCTTTCTGTCTCTCTGGTGAGCGCACGCACCTTACAGCAAAAATTTTTCTCTTAAAAAAAAAGGATACCACGGGAGAAAGACCTAACTTCATCTTAGAGTTGGAGACTAGACAATCACAAGCTTCTGGGCAGTATGTGAAGGAATTATGCAGAATGTAGAAGAAAGTACTTCAGGTAAGGAAAGGAACAAAGGATATAGAACAAAGTCTTGGAGTTAAGAAACTAAGGAAGAGAACACAACTTAAAACCTACAACCCAGTTTTCCTATTGCTGTTAGAGTTAACTATCAAAACATAAATATGGAAATCTAATACGTTGTCTGAAGATAAATCTAAATTCTTTAGCATAGTAACCTGAGCCCTTTATAATCTAGCTCAAATCTCTCTCTCTTCTCACTTCCCTTCTTACAAATACATGCTTCCTATTTAGATCGTTTTGTACAGCATTCTCTGAACTCAACTGGTAATATAACACGTGCAGAGTCTGACTCAAGGGCACTCACCTGTAAGATGGACGCCGTGCTAGGATCCCGTGGGCTTTCTGTGAGGAGCCTATGCTGTCGGATGAGTCCTGAGACTCCTCACTTTCTGACAAAGATGACACCTAAAAGACAGAACTGGTTTTAATATGATGAACAATGTAGGTGAGGAAAGAACTGAGCTTTTAGTTTCAGAAAAAAAATGTTCTGTCTCTTGCCACCTAGATTCCTTTGCACATTAATGAGTAAAAGAAAGGAACAAAGGGAAAAGGGGAAATGTATTCTAGGAGCCTAGTCTAACTCAAGGAACTTAACAGTACAGTAAGCAGGTCCAGAGCTAAAAACACAGTCTACTCCCCAAAAAAGCAATACTAATTTACTAGAGTGAAAAAGACCAGTCTGTAATCTCAGTCTCCACCCAATTTCTGTACATTACTGAAAGTCTTCCTTGTCTTTAAATTACTAATGCTATCTCATTTGGATTTTAGATACGCTAAGTTTGAAAAGCCTAGTAGGTATCTAACTGCTGACACTTAGGAGACTGCTGAGTACAAGCCTGGAGGTCGGGGAAGAGGTCTGGGCTGAATACATAAATTTGGAAGGCGTAGTTGTTAAGAGTCCTTAAAGACATGAGGCTGGATGAGCTCATTCAGGGGTTAAGTACGAAGAACAGGACTGAGAACAAAACACGGGAATACTCTAACATTAAGAGATGGGGAGAAACAGAGGAAACCACCAAATGAGCCTGAGAAGGAGCCACCAGAGAATAAGAGAAAGCACCAAGTGTGTGAGCTGTCTTGAAAAACTAGTGAGGACAGTGTACTGAGAAGGCTGATCAATCATGTCAGATGCTGCTTACGTGCAGAGTGAAACAAGGACTGGGGGCAGACCACTAGATTTCATAAGGTATAGAGGTCACTGGCAAGGGCAGGTATAAACACATGCGATTTAAAAAATCTGTGGTAACCAGCTTTATCTCATTTCACAATTAAACTAGCCAATACATATAAAGCACTCAGAGTATGGTACATGGCATGCATACAATTAACTGTTAACAAGAAACACATTAAAATAACATCAAGCTTTTTTGTTTTAGGAGATTTTTGCCATAGGGTGCATGCGCTCACCAGAGAGACACACAGACAGAGAACAAGTGAGAATCCCCCCCACCCCACCCCACCAAGGGGGCAGTTGGCCACACCACAATCCCTTGTCCTCCATTCTTCTCTCAGGCTTTTGGGCGCACATGCGCATGCACATGTGCCCAATGTGAATTTGAAGCCACCAGATCTGGGACTTGAACCAGGGTCTACTATGTGGGAGTCTAGTGATGTAACCATTACACCACCTGCTGGACTCAACATATAAGTTTTAAGTTATAGTAATATTCTCTGTTAAGAGATATTTTGCTATACAGAGTGTGCACTCGCCAGAGAAACAGAGTGAAAATTACCCCCTGAGGAGATGGCCACACTGCAGTCCCTTCTCCATTCTCCTCTTGGGATTTTGGGCATGTATGCACACACTCCCAGCGTGAGCTTTAAGCCACAGGGTTTGGGACTTGAACTGTGGTCAATTACATGGGAGTCCAGCGACATAATCATTATGCCATCAGCTGGTCCCAACTTAAGAGTAATATATTAAAATCGAGAAACCAAGTTGTTTTCAGTATCAAATTCTTAACATTTGTCCAAAGCTGGGCTGTGAGAGCTGACTTCATTATCATTTTAAATAATAACACAATCCAAAATGCTTTAAGATGGGACATAAGAAATCAGTTCTCTAAATTAATTTCTATCTATAGAAAGCATCTCCCTATATTTTTTAGATGTTGACATTTAAATTTCCAGGGAAGGTTGATTTTTATTCTATCATCTCTCTTAAAAAATCAGCTCTAATATGTAACTACCCATTTATAGCTTACATACACATTAAAATATTTTTACTTATTTTAATTGCCAGAGGGCATGTACGCTTGCCACAGAGACAGACAGACAGGAAGGAAGAAAGTCCCCCCGACTCCCCAACAATGGGGTGTGGTCACGTCACAATCCCTTCTCTATTCCGCTATCCTGTTGCAATTTAGAACACACATGCACATATACCCAAGTGTGTTTCTCAAGATACCAGGGTCAGGATTGAAACTACAGTTGGCCATGTGGAATCCAGTCACTTAACCACTAGGCTGTAGAGCCAGCGTTATACATACCTTTTTATAGGAAAGAAAGAACTGGTCACAACCCAGTAATAATAGTAACAAATAATTTAAAACAGTAAACATCATGGGTATTCTATTTCTACTCTAACCCTTTCACTATTTTCACTGTTTAATCCAAGGCCTCTATTTGAACTCAAGAAAATAATTTCTAAAACTAAGAGATTACTTATAACTAAGAACAAGCATTTCTCTTTAATGATATCACCAGCAAATAAAAAAATAAAATCTTTATATAACAACTCAAAAATCTGTATAGCCACCGTATTTCTTCATACATATTCAGGAGGGGAAAATGAGGTGTACACCTCTTTTCCAGGAAAACTACTACTAAAAATGAGAAAAAGCATTCTGGGTCTCACAAGAACCTTTCCTTCTGTTATTAGATGTTATTAAGAAGATAGATATAAGTATGAATTTAACTCTTCTATGAAAGAACTCTCTTATGTTTGATCTCCATAAAGTATAATAAGGTAGGAACTTTCTTCCTTTGCTAAGACTGTTACATCATTGCCCTTATTTCAGAATCCTCCTTTTTATGGAGGGTACCCAGGATAAAAAAAGGTTCTTTCCTTTTATGAAGTCTTGTCTTTTATTTTTATTTTTATTTTTCTGAAAGAGAGATTTCTGCTATAGGGCACTTATGCTTGCTAGAGAGAAAGAAAGTGAGAAATCATCCCCCAAGAGGGATGGTCATGTCACAATCCCTTCTCCTCCATTCTACTCTCAGAATACCTGGTGTGAGTTTTAAGTCACTGGGTCCAGGACTCAAACCACAGTCAATTACGTGGGAGTCCAGTGACATAACCATGATGCCATCTGCTGGTCCCTCATTTCCTTAATCCTTAAACAGTAACTTCCATAATCCTTAAGCAGTAACTTCCACAATAACTGTCTTCTGTTTCTACTATATCACTATCTACATGAAACTAGACATTCTAAAATGTTTCTATTTGTCTCATTTAGTCTACAGTCTAATTTCTAAGACAACTTTTGGTATGTTGCTTTATAATACAATCTTGGAAACTTCAATGTGTTTGAGAATTCAGGGTATAAAAGTTCCCGCTCTCAACTACTAAGGCTTCAAATTTCTGTACCGTTTGCACGTGTGGTGGGTGAATTACAGAAGACTGAGCTGTCTGGATGACCCCCTGAACCTGTACTTGCTCTCCAGGAAGAGGTACAATTGTCACTGGCGCAGATCCTCTTAATGACATCTAAGAACAAATAAAAATTCAATTAACAAAATATACAGTGCACCTATGCATAGAAGAGTTTTAACACTGGAAAGCACATTTTGGAGCTGATTATATTTAATGACATCTATTACACCAAACATTAGGTATCTTCTATGAACCAGAGACTGAACCTAGAGGGCTGAGAGTACAAACTAGTTATAAGAGCTATAAAAGAAGAAAAATAGGAAATACTGTCCTGTGGAGCAAAGAGAAGTGTTATTTCAGCTGGTTTTGAAGGATAGCCAATTCCCCAAGGGTATGTATGGGCAGGTGGGGGTAGGGGAAAGGCCTTGCAGGTATTTTAGGCATAAGAACTAACTGTGTAAAAAACATGGAGGAGGCTCGTTAGAAACTGCTATTCAGAAGAGATTTGACTGCAAATAACCCAGGTGCTCCGTGGCTTGAAGTGTTAAAGAGAGCCAAATTTCATACGGCTGACCATTCAAATTCCAGCCCCAGTGGCTTGAAAAACATACCCACCAGGTGGGCATATGTGCCTGACAAGTGAAGGAGAAGGGATTTGTGGCATAACTGCACCCTTCTGCGCAAGAGGTGGGGGGTTTCTTCCTCTCTCTCTGTCTCTATCTGGCAAACCACGCATCCTCTAGTAATTAAAAGAAAGAAAGGGACCAGCAGTTGGAGTAATGGCTATGTCGCTGGGCTCTCATGTAGTCGACTGCGGTTCGAGTCCTGGACCTGGTGGCTTAAACTCACACTGGCCGCGTGTGCGTGCGTGCGTGTCCAAGATCTGAGAAGAGAATGGAGGAGAAGGGATTATGGCGTGGCCATTCCCCCAGGAAGGTGATTTCTAGCTTTCTGTCTCTCTATCTATCTCTGTCTTTCTGGCAAGTGCCATGCACCCTATAGCAAAAACCTCTAAAAAAAAAAAAAAAAAAAGAAAGAAAAAGAAAAAAAAACTGATCACAAAATCATGAGTCAAAAAGTGAGAGAAATACCAACTTTAGGCAGTACCTTCAAAGAAAAATGACTACAAGTAATTTAGAATTATAATTGGTTTCTGTGGAAATTAGGTGTAGTTTCATGGAAATACCTTGATAAAATGCTAAAGTCCACTGGAGCTTCCCCATTCGTTGCTGAGTGGATGACACACACAGAGAGGACACAGAAGCTCAGAATTGAAGGAAACGAACACCTCCCATACCTCACCTTACCCCTCTCTTCATCTGGTTGTTTATCTACATCCTGTATACTATACTCGATATGCTGGCAAATGTGGCCTAAAATATAAGTTTGAGCCTCGTTGTTATAGAATGAAACATTTATTTACCTGGCCCAAGAGTTGGAGAAGCTGGGGAGCTGAAACTGAGATCTGCTCTATGCCCTCAAGGAGAAACAAATTGTTAAGCTGTGAGTACCCATATGAAAAAGCCTGCACTAGGGACTAGCAGTTGATGTAATGGCTATGCCGCTGGACTCTCATGTAGCTGACTATGGTTCAAGTCCCAGGCCCGGTGGCTTAAACTCACTCCGGGTGCATGTGTGTGCGTGCCCAAGATCCCAAGAGGAGAATGGAGAAGGGATTGTGGTGTGGCCATCCCCCATGGAGGGGTGATTTCTCACTTTCTGTCTCTCTTTCTGGTGAGCACACACGCCATATAGCAAAAACCTCTCCAGAAAAGAAAAGAAAAAGCCCACACAAGGCAGTAATCTCCAGAGATAACATGAAGGTGTGAGGCCTACCACATGAGTAAAATTACAAGTGAATCCTCCCCAGTTGAGATAACTGTAGACTCAGAAAACCCTGTTATTGCAACTTTAAAACTTTTTTCTTTTTATGTTTTTGCCATAGGGCATGTGCACTTGCCAAAGAGAGACTGAGGGGGAAAGAGAGAAATCCTCCCCCAGGGGGTATGACTACCCACAATCCCTTCTCCTCCATTCTCCCCTAGGGATTATTGGCACGCACCCATGCACACATGCCTGGCATGGTTTTCAAGCTGCCGGGTCTGGGACCTAAACTAGTCAGCCATGTGGAAATCCAGTGCCTTAACTACCACACCACTTGCTGGCCCCCAAAATTGTTTTTTATTTCTCTCTCCTTTTTTCTTTATTGCCAGAGGGTATGTGCATTTCCCAGAAAAAAGAGAAAGCACTACCCAGTAGGGTATGGTCATGCCATAATCCCTTTTCCTCCAGTTTCACCCCATCAGGATTTTAGGCATGCATACACATGTGCCAAATATGTTTTCAAGGCACCAGGCTAGAAGCTGAATTGCAGTCAGGCAGGATCTGGGTCCCTATGCATAGGGCTTAATCACTGCAATTCAGGGCCAAACCCTGATTGCAACTTTTTGACAGATCATGATCTAGAGGCATTCGACTAAGCTGTGCATGGATTTCTGATTCATGTAAGCTCCAAGATTGTAAATGTCTCTTGTTTAAAATCTCTGATGAAGAGGAGCTCTCTAGAGACTGCGCCTAATATGCCCATGTGAGTATAATATTGCTGACTGCTGGGGACCAGCAGGTGGCATGGAGGTTAAGACACTGGATACCCCCACATGGCCTACCACGGTTCGAGGCCTGGACCTGGCGACCTGCTTTCTCACTTTCCCTGTGTGTGTGAGTGTGTGTCTGGTAAAATTAAAATAAATGAATGAACGAATAAAATTAATAATTCTTTTTTTTTTTTTAATTGCTGAATGCTTTGTCTTAACTTATTGTTTCGGCTCTTTGGCTTTTCTCCCTTAACTCTACAGTCATCTGCTCCCCTATAGCCAAATCTTGTTGCTCACAGGGAGGTTTAGGTTTGGTGATTTAACATTTATGTTCTCCCCAGTGCTGTCAGTCTACATCATAAAAAAGGGGGCAGGGAGTGGCACAGCAATAGCGTAGTTACACTTACACTGGAAGATTCTAGATTCCCAACCCAGAATCACCCTGAACACACTGGATACAAGTGCCTATGATCTGGGCTGGCTGAGACTGAGGGTGGACATAGTATAGTATGGGGACTCTTTTAGGAATGCCTATCTGTTTTTCTTTCTTATGGAAAAAGTAAGTAATTTTAAAAAGGAAAAAAAAAAAAAAAAGGCCCAGCTGCAAGGTCACAGACTGTTAAAATACTGTGCTCCATAGGCTGGGACCACTTGAAAGGCCTGGGTTTAATTCCTAGTCCCTGCTTGCAGTGGCATGCACGTGCAATTCCAGCCACCAGAGAGGCTGAGGGAAGAGGATCACAAGCTCAAGGATGGCCTGGGCAACAATGCTCAAGACCTTGTCTGAAAAAGCTGGGTGTGGCAGCATGCACCTGAAGTCCAAACTAGGAGGCCGTGGGCAAGAAGACTGTAACACAGTGTGACCTTTTTTTTTTTTTTTTTTAAAATTCTCATGAGACTTCCCTGACCCTGGAAGCTACATGTAAATCTACAGCAAAGCTATCTGATATATATATGGTTTAAATGTGCCCCACCCACCATCAGGAACAGATCTCATTCAAGCACAATAACTGAACAGGGAGGCTGCTGAGCTTTCTAGCAGGTGCTTAAACTACATATGTTATTTGGATTTATGTCCTCTCAGGATCTTGGGCATGCTCGCACACGCGCCCGGCGTGAGTTTAAGCCACCAGGTCCAGGACTCGAACCGCAGTCGACTACATGGGAATCCAGTGACATAGTCATTACGCCAACTGCTGCTCCCAACAGTATAGTTCTTGATCTTTAGAGTTACAGAACCTGCTAATACACTATGGCAGACTTCAAAGCCACACTTAGGAGATGACAGAAGAGACAAAAGAAAAATTTTTTTCCAGAGCTGCTTTCCTTAAACGGGGAGCTGTAGGACTAAGTCTTTAATTTCTTCCCACTCCAAGAGAGAGCTGAGCCTAGAGTTCCTCTTATACAAATGAGTGGGCAAAAATTAGCATTCTCCTTAGTACCTAATTAGGTGACACAGGACTATAAACACTTGAACAGACAGAGAGCAAGAATTAAAAAGTGGCATGGGAAAGAAGCCTCAGCTTATCCAGAGTCTGAATCCAAAATCTTCCAACTCCAGAAAGGTACAAAGCCTTGGAGTCAGACAGACTTGGGCTGATTTTCAGTTAAGTGCCTAAACTCTGTGATAATAAGCAAATTACTGAACCTCTTGGGGTCTCAATTTCCTCCTTTGTGAAAAGAACTATCTTTTGCAGGAGTCACAGCAACAATTAATGACTAATAAGTTTAAAGCCAAAGGTGGCAGGAGGAGGAGGTTAGGGGAAGTAGCTTATATATTCATTTGGATCTTAGTTCAATAAGCTACTAAAAAATAGATATAAATAGCAAGAAATTTTAAAATATTAATTGATATTTAATGAGATTAAAGAATCGTTTTTGGATGAGTATAATAATAGAAATCTGATTATGTTGTTTAAAAGAGGCCTCTGTTTAGAAATACACACTGAAATAATAAGGAATGAAATGATGACTCTAGGACTGCTTCAGTATAATCCACGTTTTGAGGGCACAGAGTGGGAGTAAGTAGGGAGAAGGCAAGAAGCCATGAGTTAATAATTGCTGAAATTGGGACCAGCAGTTAGCATAATGGATGGCTATGTCACTGGATTCCCATGTAGTCAACCGCGGTTCAAGTCCCGGACTCGGTGGCTTAAACTCACGCTGGATGCCATGTGTGTGCATGCCCAGGATCCTGTGGGAAGCTGCACACCAGCGAGTCTGCCGAGGTTTCTCAGAGAGCAAACAATTACCATGATTGGTTCCCTTCTAAAAACCTGACCTTCGAAACCTTGCTCTGATTGGCCACTAGCATCCCTCAAATTTGCATATCCAGCACCTCATGATTGGTCCAAAAGCAACCAATCATAACCCACCGTTAACAACCAATCAGGGCCCACCGTTTACAACCCACCAGAGTGTATATAACCACGATGCCTGGCCCACAGTAGCCAGACAGCTGTGATACCGCGTCATCTCCGTGCTGCTCACAGTAGACGACGCAACCCTTAAGAGCTGTGA